CCGCCGGGCCTGGCCGCCGCCTCCTCTCTCTGCGGTCCCCACGCAAACCCGACCACCACACTGACCGTCTCACAACCCGGCCCGACGACGGCGCCAACACCTCGGGCGGAAAGGGCCCGCTTTGCCGCAGGCGCTGTCAGAACACGAGAAAGGGAGAGACCGCGGCTTTCAGCGAGTCGCCCTCCACCTGGCGGCCATTTTCCTCCATCTCCCCGAACTGACAGATCACGTGGACGCGGGTCGGAGGGCGGGGCTGCGGTGGTCACGCCCACCTGTAGGCGTGGTCCAAGGGAGGCGGGACTGGAGGGGGCTGCGGGCGCGGGCATAGCTGGCCGGGCCGGGCCGGCAGGCAGGTGCCCGGAAGAGAGTTCTCTCTGGCCACCAAATAGGTGTATTTGACAAGGGTCCCAGGCAACACTCTTTCTTGTCAATGTCACCCTTCTTACTAGGATTAGTTTACAGTCCCTGTTCACCATATGCAGAGAAATAAACCACAATCATATCTTCAAGAGACCCTGCAAATACATTGCAAATGGAGGCCAATTCAAATCCCTTCCTCCGGAATCCAGGACACCTGAGAGGTTTATACTCCAGGTCCAGGGTCCGGAGAGCCCACCGCCTCCCCAGCTTTCTCACTCCCTTCTCTGCAGCCTGGCAGTCTGGCCTCACCCTGATCCCTACAGAAGGGACCTCTCACCTGCCTGCTTCCAAATGTGATTGACAGCTTTTCCACTCACAGCAGTTTTGGTCATGATACCCTCCTGGAAATGTTCCCCTCCCTGGGCTTCAGTGACTCTGATTCTCCTAGTTTTCGGCCTATTTCTCTGGCTGCTCCTCCCAGATTCCACCTCCCTTAAACTGGCTGATGTTTTCAGAATTCAACCCAAAGCTGGACTTGTCACGCTCCTGACCCAGTGTGATCCTTCTGTACTGACACTGTCAGGGGACCTGTCACCTGCCCCATCTACCAAGACAGGAATTGGGAAATCATACACCTCCTCCTCCTCCACCGCTCCCTAAAGTCATCCAGCCCTCCACTGCCTGACAGTAGCTACTTTCGTCACCCCTGATCTGTTTAAAGCCTTCAGAAGCTCCCCACTAAGACTGTACCAAAAGCCCCCAGCTACTCTCCCTGCGTCTGCTGGTGCCCCACTAACCATTTCCCCAGGAGATCAGGGAACATGTCACTTCTTTGATTAAACTCCCTAGCAGCCTTCCATTCCATAGAAGAAATTCCCAAATAGTACTTAACCTGCAAGTCTCCTCAGGAGCTGGTCCCTGCCAGACGTCTTGCCATTGTCCTGTGCTCTGCTCTCCTCCCATCCTGCCCCCGCCCCCCCAGGCTGGAAAATACAGTTCCTGAACCATTGGGCCATGTTCTTTCTCATCTCCGCTTTGTTTCCAAAGTTTTGTTCCCTTTCCACTGGGTAGTCTCCCCTGCCTCTTGTCCAGCTGAGTCCAATAGATATATCCTATTTATTTTTCAGGATGCAGCCTAAGTGGTCCTCTCTGAGATAGCTTTCTGCATGACCTCAGGAAGGGTTCATCATTCCATCTGTCCTACGCCTCCGTCACCGCTTTGGGGTGCCCTCTTGTTGTCTCATGCACACATTCTCCTTGTTGGCTTTTTCCTTGAGTTCCCAGATTAATCCACTGGGAGCTGCTTTTCAGTGGTGCCAAATCAGGATCAGCTGTAGAAATTTTTAAAAATCAAAACTTGACACTTGGGGAATTTAACATATCTCCTTAGCTGATTCCACTGAAACACCATTCTCAGACTTGGTTTTTGTCCCATTGTGTCCAAATCAGTGATTTCAAATATGAATATTCTTTTTCAATGTCAAACCACTTGGTTGAGGGGAGGACCTACACCAGCTAGCCAGTAGCCTTTAAGTAACCACTGACTGTGAAAGCAACATGGGAATTAGAATCTGAGGTTTCATAGGGACCTGCAGCCCCAGCAAGGGAGCCGGTGCTCTAATTGTAATGAACCATCTGAAGCATCAGCGAGGCATGTGACAGGCTTTCTGGATGAGTTTGCGAACACAAAGGGAAAATGTGGGTTACATATCAGAGGCTGGGCACCAGAAGATCTCAAGTGTGTTGGTCAGTGCAGTGATGACTCAGGGTTACAGGATTCTTCAGTCCGTGCGAGCTTCCTCTATGGGACACCACTGTGGGGAGAGCTGCCCCCATGAGAATCCTCCCCTTTCAACCCCACCTCACCACCGCCACCACCACCCCAGGCCCATCACCCTGGAATTTCTGGAACTCCAGCTGCATGTCCTGGTGGATGAAACTGCCCCTCCACAACAAGCCCAGGAGGTGGCTTTGTGCCCAGGCTGGGCTCTGCCCACAAGGTGTGAGCCGAACTGAGAGGCAGTAAGCCACACAACCAGAGCACCTCTCTTGGGGACAGCTGGACTACAGCTGTAAGGAAGGGGCGGTGTGGGACAGGAAGCTGTGGTTCTCTAGCTTAGCTGGTCCCTAGCATAGCTGTACTGCAGTGGGAATTGGGAGGGGAGGTCGGTGGGGGGGGTGGTTCTCAGTCAAGAGCTTTGCAAATCCTGATCTAGAAATGGGACATCCAGTCCCAGACACTGACAAGACAGTCGGCCACACTACTGGCACCCCCTCCCCACCTCTTCCCCCAGATACAGCTCCCTGAAGATACTCAGTGTATAAGCTGCTCTTTTAGGAATATTTTTAAAGCCGCCCAGATAACAGCCTGGGAGGAAGCTACTAGAAACAGGCTTTCCTTTAGTGAACATTTGAATGGAAGATGGGAGGAGGAGCAGGTTCCAAGGACGGCAGGAAGGCGGAGAAACACCAGCGTGGAAATAGGTTTATCAGCTAGGGTCCCCCCCACACACTGCTCGTCTTCACTGGGAAAGGGAGAAACCTTACGTTTAGGAGTTTTACTGAATTACTAAAGCTAATTACTAGTTACTAAAGTTTAACTGAGTTACTGAGCATTTTTAATGACCAAACGTGACTAGACGATATTCAATGATCCAACAATGATGAGAAAAATTATGAGAATTCTAAGGCCCACTGGAAATTTTGTCTGGGAACCAAGAAGTCAACTTGGAGCACTTCCAGGAGCGGTCCTGAGGAAAAATAAAGTTGCTTCTTAATCCCTCTGTAGCCCCTTCTTCTCCATCCACATGTCGGTTACATTAGTAAATTAGAGGCATTGTGATGATAAATATTTTCTGACTCACACCAAATGCTGTTTATTCCTTTCATATTTATGGACGCGAACACTCGTCTTGCGGTGACATGACTATCGTAAAATAGAACTGAGATGCTTTCTCCTCGGTGTTGACATCCTCTCCACGTTCATCGGTCTTTTTGTGGCTTGTGCAGCTTGCCTCGATCTTTCTGGCAAACGCCTCCTAAGTTTTCTTGCTTCAGCAGAATCACTTGAATCACTTCAAGAGTCTGGCATTTCTACTTGTCCTGCGGTATTACATGGAAGGAAAAATAAGAGTTATCTTTCCATTCCTCACCACACTCCCCATCCAAGCTGTAATTTTAATCACCCTTTCATCTTTTTCAACAGTATGAGCAGACTGAGATGATGATTTCAGCAGTCCAACCTTTCTACGTGGCTTCGATTTCACAGTATATCGGACTTTCCATGGAAATCTTAAGTTGTTCTGCACACTGTCGTGCTTAAAAATTGTTTCCCCCAGACTATAAAAGGAATATGTGTTCATTATAAAGTATTTGGAAAATACAAAAAAATTTGAAGGAGAGATACCTCTCCTTATTCACCACCCAGAGTTCCCTGACATCTTAAACAGAGATTTGAAACAAAAACTTTATTGACCGAAGTCATTATTTTAAACCTTTATTACTGAAAAGGGGGGCGGGTAATGAGGATGTCCCTGAGATGTCATTTTTGGCCTTGATTAGTGATGGTTGTCACTGACATTTCTCAGGATATCTTCGCCAATCTCCTCCCTGACCCATTTAATCAGCAATTTCCTTCTACAAAAAGGTAGAAAGACATTTCCTCAGCTGTGGGATGGCCCCAGAAAGAACTACAGGGCAGAATTAAGAACAGCTCTGAGGCAACAGAAAAGCGGAAGATGTAAAACTTTGTCTTCAAGTAGGGAAGAGGCAGTGGGGGAAAAGAGGCAGACAGAGAGAGTTGAAGGAAAGAGAAAGAGCTGTAACTGAGTTAGTATCAGTCCATATGAAAAAGAGTCTGGATTTTTGTGGATGGCAAACTCAACGTAAGTCTAACAAGGCTACCAGCGGGGCAGACACACATCCATGCTGCCCACCCACTGCCTTGCCACAGCTGTTTCAGGCTCTCTAAAGCTCTTTTCAATCATCAAACTCATACTCACGAGTAGAGACTGAAGACATGAAGCCCCCGCTTTACGGAAGTACACTCTAATTAAGGAGATGGGGAATATGCTAACAGAAAGTGTGATCAGCTCAGGACATCATAGGCTAAGTTCCAAGGACGTGGCAGCTCAGAAGAGTGAGTGGTCTCTGGGGACTGGTGGGGGGAGAGCAACGCCCTCAAAGTCACGAAGAGGGTCAGCAGGGGTCAGGGAAGCAGTACCTCGGAGGTGGGAACTGGTATCATGTGGTCAGGAAGTTCTCAAGATTGACGTCCAAGCACACTCAGAGTTTTATATTGGAAGCATTTTTTATGGCAACTCAAGTTAGTAAGAGATTCACTGCTTTGTTCCCTTATTATTGAAGACTTGGAGCTCTCTGGTTCCAGGATCTCATCCTAGCTGAGTTGGCACCTTGAATCCCTATTGGCCCTCCGAAGCCAAAGTTCACTCATCAGCACAGATCCCCATGAGAGTGAGCAAAAGCTGGAGCAGAAAAAATAGTTAACACTGCATTAGGTCCACTGGTTAATTTCTTTAAACCCCTTCAATTGTATATGAGACTACGAATTAATGTTTAATTTTATCATGCCATAAAAACTGCATCATTCAGATCTGCTAGTTGGTGTATGTTTTGAAATTACAAACTGTCTCCTATCTTAATCATGAAATTTAATGTCATTGTTTTCATATTTTAAATCATCAAGCTGTTTTTGCTTGCTAAAGATATATTAGAAATGTTGGTGAGCACATCAGTTAACGTTGGATTCAACTACTCTATTATTAATGATTCTACCTTCTAATTTGTCCTATATCTTTCTTTAAACCCAATGTTTCACCTAAAGATAGCTGATTTTCCATGTTT